GGTTAACATAGTCCCCGCCCGCGACACCAACTGTCCGGATCCAGCTCTTCCGCCTTCCGGGTTGGCTGCCCTTGCGCCTGCGCAGTTACAGCCCCAGGACACCTTCCGCGGCAGTCTGAGCAGTTCATTCTAGAGGGACCAAGAGCATAGTCTTTCCAATAGAACGCCGAGAGGCTCGAACGGGAGGACTGGATTTTAAAGGACTCGGAGGTAGCTTGCAGTAAAGATTCTCCATTGGACGTTGGGAAGTGCGGGGACAGTCTAAGGACAGCCGGACTCTGTTCAGGCACATATTTGGCCAATTGCCTCGTCTCCTGACCCCCACCAGAGGTAGTGCTGTGGAAACTGAGGCAGCAAGGAGTCCAGCCTCCTATGCAGTCACTATTTCCTTGGCCAGCACCGTTAGTTCCCTGGCTTTGGCCCCAAGCTCCTGCATGGATTGCGCCCCACAAAGAGTGCGCACCTGCACTCCCACCGCCACGGAGAAAACCCTGGCCTGGGCTTCTGCTCTCGGTTCGGGGTGACCTTGATCAGGATTTTCCCTTCTCTGGACCTCAGGTTTCCCCAGCTGTAAAATTGTTAGAGGGCAGAACTTGGTCCTTGAACTCGCGATCCATCTCAAGCGCTTTTCTGCCTTCGGGTGCACCTTCCGGTCCTCAAAAGATTCCCAAGGGTTTGGGGCTACTACAGGGAATCTCTTCCCAAACGGAGTAGACTCCTTAGAAGGGGCAGCGGCGGGAAAGGAGCGACTTGATGTGTTGGGAACGGACGCTCCGGAAAGGTAGCCGCTGATTGGCTGTGGGCAAAGGGGTGGGGCATGGATGGGGCGGTGGAGCTGCGCGGTCCCAGACTGGGGCGGCAGTTTTACCTTATTCTGAGAATAGCACTGCATTATTTTACCTAATCCCCTCCACCACGTGAGGAAAGGATCTGCTTAAAAACGCCCAGTCAAGATTGGAATCCTGATAGACTTACTATATGATTCAGCAATCCCACTCATGGGCATATTTAGAGGGAACTCTAACTTGAAAAGATACATACATGCACCCTAATGTTCATAGCAGCACTATTTACAGTGGCCAAGGCATGGAAGCAGCTTAAATGTCCATCGACAGATGACTGGCTAAAGAAGTTGTGATATATTTATACAATGGAATACTACTCAGCAATAAAAAAAGAATAAAATAATGCCATTTGCAGCAACATGGATGGACCTGGAGATCGTCGTTCTAAGTGAAGTAAGCCAGAAAGAGAAAGAAAAATACACTTATGTAGAATCTAAAAAAAAAGGGGGGTGGGAAGGGGGCCACTAATGAACTCATCTACAAAAGAAACAGATTCAAAGACATAGTAAACAGTCTATGGTTACTGGGGAAATGGGGTGGGAAGGGATAAATTTGGGAGTTTGAGATTTGCCAATGTTAACCACTATATATAAAAATAGATTAAAAAAACAGATTTCTTCTGTATGGCACAGGGAACTATATTCAATATCTTGTAATAACCTTTAATGAAAATGAAAATAAATATATATGTATATGCATCACTGGGACATTATGCTGTACACCAGAAATTGACACACTGTAACTGACTATACTTCAGTTAAAAAAAAAAAAGATTGGAATCCTGGTCTAGTCTGACCACAGAATCTAGGCATTTTAACACACCTCACCAAGAAACCACAGCCCCTCCTTGCACCCCCTTCCCCAAGCCTCCTCCCCAGCTTAGTTTTCTTCTATACCAGGTGGGGAATCATAACTGCCCTCCCTACTCATTCCAAGGAATGAAAACCCAGGGAGATGTGTCCTGGACCTCAGGAAAGGTAAAGGTCCTGGAGAATAGAGGAGGTGGCACTGGGCATCATCTACATCATTTTTCACCACCTCCTCAAAGCCAGGCTTACTCATAATCAACTCCTGCTAGCAACATGGCCTAGTTGGTTTGAACTCCTTTTCACAGATAGGGAATAAGAGGCCCACGAAGGGGAAAAGACTTGTCTCAGGTCACACAGCATGGCATTAGCCAAACAGACCACAGTGAGAGTCTCCCGTAGCAGTGCCCTCTATCCTACTGCCCACAGCCCAGCAAAAGCAGTGACTGTTGAGACCACTTAGTCACGAGCCAAATTAGCAACTGAGATTAAGACCAGGGCTCAGGGCTTTTGGTGTGGGGTTCTTCCTCCCTTCCTCCTCACATCCCACCATCTTAATGAACTTGTTCCCAGATCTTACCAGTGATATTCCTCCAGCCTCTCCCTCTGTGGCTGTGGAGAAAGTGAGGAAGGGGACTGTGAGGTTTCTTTTGCACTCCTAGGGCTGGTGGTCCTGTGCTTCTGGGGAGGAGAGAGGCAGGGAGGACAAAGGAGCACCCTCCCCATCTTGGACAGAATATGAGGGGTGCTGGGGTTGGAGCCTGTTTCTTTTGCCTCCTTCAGGACTGGGAGGGGATCATGGGCCCAGCCAGGCTGGCAGCAACCTGGCTGCCTGAATTACCTCTTCAGATCCCATGCCTGATTAGGTCCCAGAGACAGAGTGGTCATGTGTGCAGGAGGCACCTAGGACAGCCCCTCTACTGGGCCCTTGCCTGGACTTAGTCACCTGGTTGGGCAGGTTGGACCTGATCCTTCCTCCTTCACTCTGTCCTGCACCACAGTGGAAGAGAGCTAGACCAGTCCAACAGGTAAAGATGAGGATACTGAGGTCCAGAGTGGGGGCCTGATTTGTTCAAGGTCACACAGCAAAGTCCTGGGCAGAGCTGGGCCAAACTGGGTCTCAGGTCTAGAAGATCAGCACCCTTTCATATGCCCATAACTATCTCCTTTCCCACCTCCACGTCCCAGAAGAAGCTCTTGGAGGACCAGTAAGCATCTTGGCACCTCAATTTCCCCTGAGTGGTAAGGTTGATCAAGGGGTGGGGCCAGCATTGTGAGTGACCAGTCACTCTGGTCACTCACAGACCCAGCTCCCCGCCAGAAATGCCCTGATCAGGCCCTCACTGTATGCCTTATCTGCTCTTTCACATTTAACCCCCATGACAGTCTCTGTTGAGAGTCTTAGGGAGGGATTCACCCACACGCACCCCAGCTCCAGGCTAGAGATGAGGGTCGGGGGACTGGAGGTTCAAAACTCCAGATGCCTAGATGGCCCCTGCATCCCCTCATCTGCTCTCAATTCTCAGATGTATGAGGAGCCTCCTCAGTCTCCATGGTAACCGTTGCCCCTGGCCTCCAAAGGCCCAAAACCAGACCTTCCTGGCAGACCCCCATTTCCCACAGAAGGGCATTTTGGCCTCTTAGAGGAGATCTGGCGGTGGGGGACTCTCAGGCTGGGCTGCTTTGCCACAGCTTATTTTGGGGTTAGGGCCTCTAAGACCTTCATTTTTTATACCTGGAAGCTGGGCTAATGGATACCACCTGAGCCCCTTTCTAGGTTATGGTGGGGCCCACTGGGTCCCATCGGGTTCAGCACATACTGAGTGCTAGGTATGTGCCAGGCCCTGGTTGGATGCTGGGGACCCAGTCTGGTGAGCAGCTACCTTCTAGGGGGGACATGGGCTGTAATTAAGTCAGCAAGGTCCCCTTACAAGGAGTGCTAAGAAAACAATAAAGCAAGGGATGCGGAGAGAGGAGCCTACCTTGTGAGAATCTGACAGAATCCAGGCAGAAGGAACTTCAAGGACAAGTCCTAGGGCAGGAAGCCTCTATGGAGGAGCAGCTCGGAAACTGCAGGGTAGAGCCTGGGGAAGGACAGGAGGGTGTTCTAATGGGTCACTTCAGCTCTCCGGGGAAAATAATACCTGTGTCACACGGCTGAGGTGAGGGTTCACTGAGATGAGGCTGTGGAACCTCAGCACAGGGCCTGGGCGCAGAGTATACGCTCAGTCAGCCGTGACTGTTCTCGTTCACGGTCCAGGGTGCCACCACCTCTTCCAGGGCCTGCGGAGGCCTGGCTGGGGCCCTCTGAGGAAAGGGGGTGGTGTGGATGGCAGAGGAAGAGATCCAGGCCAGGAGCCAGGCACAATCACCACTACGGTCTAGGCAAGGGTAGGGGATCCCCTGCCCTGCCCAGGAGGCCCAGGTGGGCCGTGTGAGTGAGGCCCCTTACAATTCCCGGGCAGGAGGCGACCTTCACAAGGCCACTCTGTGTCACCGGGCCACCTGGACTGAACGGGGGTGGAGCAGACCGGGAGGAAAGCGGGGGACTCCAGGTGCTCCGCGGCTCCGGGCAGGTCTTGTTAGGGCCCCACCTCCCGCCTCCCGCCCCTAGAGCAGGTGTCCTAGATGCCCGAGGCCCGCATTCCAATCTAGCCCCCTCCCTCTCACTCAAGCCATTCCTTTGATCTCGGGCCAGGGTCACGGACCCTTCCCCAGGGGAAGGTAAAGGGGTGGAGATGGGGTCACAGAGCAGGGGAGAGGGGGATGGGCTCAGAGCAGTTATTTGGGGCTGGTCCTTCCTGGAAGGCTGCCCCCAAGCCCTCCAGCTGTCCTGAGGGTTCCCAGGTTTCTTACCCTGCTGGAGGGGGCCTTCGGAAGCCAGGGCAGGGGCGGGACCAGCCCTCCCCCTCCCCCAGGGGGTCTCCCCGCCCCTTCGGGCTCAGCCAAGCGGAGGTGAAACCTGAACCCAGGTTGGGGGCGGGGCTGGCTCCTGCTCAGACGGGGCAGGACTGCGCCTCCACCTCCCCTTTCCCTGCACCCCAGCTGGCTACTGAAAGAGTAAGGTCGGGGCCCGCAAACTGCTGGAGCAGGTGAGAAGGCTATTCAGCGCGGGAGAGTAGATCGGGTGGCCGTCGGGCCCCGCTGCCCTAGGCCGACCCTCCTCTCCCTTCCCGGTCCACAGGGCCTGCAATGGAGCCCATAGCTCGAGGTCGCGCCCCACCCTGAGCACCCCCCGGAGGTGGCCATGCTGCCCCGAGGGCGCCCCCGGGCGCTGGGGGCCGCAGCACTGCTGCTGCTGCTGTTTCTGATCGGTTTCTTCCTGTTCGGCGGGGACCTGGACTGTGAGCGCAGCCAGCAGGGAGGCGAGTGGTGGGGTGGAGGGGTGGCGGGATCCTTACCCTACTCGCTAACGCCACGTGTACCTCCAGATGGGCGGCCACGGCCGCGGGGGGCTGCTGCCCTCGACGGAGACCTGCCGGCGGGCTACGGGGGCCACAACAGCTCAGATTGCGATCCCCCGCGGCCGCGGCCGCGGCCGCCCAAATGTGAGGTAGGTAGGTGCGCACGGCCCCTGGTGGCGGGAATCTCGGGCACCGCGCCCCCAGCCTGGTCACCTGATACACCTGTGGGAATCCCAACACCTGGCGTGGGCTCTAGCACTGATCAGTCAGCTGGGGGCGCCTCGGGTTCGCACCTCCCTTTCTGACCCCGGTTTCTTCTTTTGTGAAATGTGGGGGTGGTGGACTCCTGCTCTGGGGAGTCCCCCTCATCACCCTTCCCTAGTTCTGATGTCAGGTGGGGGTGTTACACTGCCCTAGGCCAGGTCTGCCCACCCATGGTGCTTACCTTCTAGTGGAAGAGGGGGCTGCTGCTGACCTGGTGTCCCCTCCCCAGCTCTTGCAGGTGGCCATCGTGTGTGCAGGTCATAACTCCAGCAGAGACATCATTACCCTGGTGAAGTCCATGCTCTTCTACAGGTACAGCCAGGAGTGTCCTTTTCCTCCCTTGAAGGGGGTTGTAAGAATATCCTGAACTGGATGTGGAAAAGCTCTTTGCAGAAGTTGACGCTCCCACTTCTGAGCACCTCGGGGTGAGGCTTGTCCCATGGAGTTCCTTCTGGGGCTTATCAGCTTTCCTCCTGTGTCTTTCCTAAAGGAAAAATCCACTGCACCTCCACTTGGTGACTGATGCCGTGGCCAGAAACATCCTGGAGACGCTCTTTCACACATGGATGGTGCCCGCTGTCTGGGTCAGCTTCTACAATGCTGATGAGCTCAAGGCAGGAGCCCTGGCCCTTCTGCACTCCTCCCCAGCCATGCCCAGCCCTCTCCTTCCTCCCAAGGTTGTGAGGATCAGGGGGAGGGCAGGTTACAGCTGCCTGGGACCCCCAACTCCATCATATCTACTGAAGCTCAAATCCCTCACCCTCCTGGGGCTCATCCCTTCTTACCCGTGTCACCCTGAGTATGTTCTGGCACTCGTAGGCCCTTCTCTGCCAGGTTCATGCCCTGTCCTTCCCATCCACAGCCCCAGGTCTCCTGGATCCCCAACAAGCACTACTCTGGCCTCTATGGGCTAATGAAGCTAGTGCTGCCCGGTGTCCTGCCCCCTGACCTGGTCCGTGTCATTGTCCTGGACACAGATGTCACCTTCGCCTCCAACATTGCAGAGCTCTGGGCACTCTTTGCTTACTTTTCTGGTGAGAGGCCTGGGAACCCACCCTTGTCAGCCCCCTTCCCTGGCCCGTCCAGTCCTCCTTGCAGCCCAGCCCTGTGCCAAGGTACTGTGGCAGCCTCAGGCAGCTCCCTCAATGCCCTTCCTTCCCAGACAAGCAAGTGATCGGTCTCGTGGAGAACCAGAGTGACTGGTACTTCGGCAACCTCTGGAGGAACCACAGGCCCTGGCCTGCCTTGGGCCGGGGATTTAACACAGGTGGGGACAGTGGTGGAGGGAGGCAAGAGGCGCGGGCACTGGTCACTGGGCCCCAGGGACTGGGCAGGATACAGAATGCTAGGCAGCCCCCACCCGGGAAGAATTGTGCTGTGGGAAGAACACTGAGAGAAGAGCCAGAAATGACAGTTCCAACCTTGGCTGTACATGCTGGATGACTTTGGCCAAGTCACTTGGTCCCTCTGAACCTTAGTTTTCTCATCCATCAAATGGGGATGATTTTGCCAGCCCTGAGACTACCAAATTTGAGAACATGGTCATGGAGGTGCTCATAAGCTGTGTTTTGCCTCCCCTTCACCCCCAAGAGGGTTAGTCATTGTCAGAGCTAGTCCATGCTCATGTCTGAACAGTCAGAAAATAAGCACTTAAAAGACACCTTCATGTCCCCTGGCCCCAGGAGCTGGGTCATCCCAGGTGGGCATGACAACCTCTCCCTGTGAGCAGGTGTGATCCTCCTGCGGCTGGACCGCCTTCGGCAGGCTGGCTGGGAGCAGATGTGGAAGATGACGGCCACACGGGAGCTTCTCACCCTACCCGCCACCTCACTGGCTGACCAGGTCTGGGGGAGCTTTGGAGTAGGGTGGGGCAGGCTCTGGGCCGAGGTGTGATGGCTGTCTCTGCCCAGGACATCTTCAATGCCGTAATCAAAGAGCACCCGTGGCTGGTGCAGCCCCTGCCCTGCGTCTGGAACGTGCAGCTGTCAGACCACACACTGGCTGAGCGCTGCTACTCAGAGGCATCTGACCTCAAGGTGGGTGGGGCAGGTGGCTGAATGGTGGTGATGGGCCCAGGACAGGGACTCCTGCTTGCTGCTCCCATCCCTGCTCCAACACCCTCCCGGGTCCCAGGTGATCCACTGGAACTCACCAAAGAAGCTCCGCGTGAAGAACAAGCACGTGGAATCCTTCCGCAACCTCTACCTGACCTTCCTGGAGTACGATGGGAACCTGCTGCGGAGAGAGCTCTTTGGGTGCCCCTGCCCACTGCCTCCTGGGGCCAAGCAGGTGAGAGGGAGCTGCCTTCCCTTCCCTCAGGGAGGCTCTACCCCTCTGCCCTGGTGGGACCCAGCCTTGTCTGGGGCTTGTCTGCCTGCCCACCCAGCCCATTCTTCTCTCCCCACGTCCCCTTAGTTGCAGCGGGCCCTGGCACGACTGGATGAGGAGGATGCCTGCTTTGAGTTCCGGCAGCAGCAGCTCACTGTGCACCGTGTGCATATCACCTTCCTGCCCCATAAGCCACCCCCCTCCCAGCCCCATGATGTCACCTTGGTGGCCCAGCTCTCCATGGACCGGTGAGGGTGCTGAGGGCAGCCCCAGGGAATATAGCATGGTCTGGGACTGGAAGTTCCAAGAAGAGGGTTTCATTTGGTGGAAGGAAGAGCTCTTACTGCCTGATGCTGGGGAGTTCCAGAAGTTGGAGCCACTGGCGGTGGTGAAAGGAGCTTGGGCTTTGGGAATCATTCAGATGCCTGGAACTGCCCCTCCGTAGCTGTGGGATCATGGGCAAGTCTTAGTATCTCTGGCCCTCAGTTTTCTCATCTGTCAAACGAGAAAGTACCCACCTTGTGGGGTAGTTGTGAAGATTAAGTAAGAACAGCTCAAAAAGTGCTTGGACGGTGCTCAGTAAATCACTTGAGGGGGGCTGTCCGCAGCAGCTAACCTGGGAGGTATCCCAGCCTTCCCTGGGCTGACCACCCCCCTCACCCCAGGCTGCAGATGCTGGAAGCCCTGTGCAGGCACTGGCCGGGCCCCATGAGCCTGGCCTTATACCTGACAGACGCAGAGGCCCAGCAGTTCCTGCGTTTCGTCGAGACTTCGGCAGTGCTCTCCGCCCGGCAGGATGTGGCCTACCACGTGGTGTACCGTGAAGGGCCCTTCTACCCCATCAACCAGCTTCGCAACGTGGCCTTGGCCCAGGCCCTCACACCTTACGTCTTCCTCAGCGACATTGACTTCCTGCCTGCCTACTCCCTCTACGACTACCTCAGGTGCGCTGGAGGAAGGAGAGGAACGGTATATGGGTGGATGTAAACAGGGTGGGGGGCGGGACCTTAGGCGAGTGTATCCCTGCTCCTTTCTGGACCAGTGTCCCGGAAAATGGGGTCTGTATGAGGGTGGGGGCCACGTGATTTCTCTGGGCTGCCATAGGAGAGCAGAGGGGCTGGGACATGCTTCCTGCAGCAGCTCCACTTGTGTCTGTCTTCTAGTGGGCTTCAGGGTGAGCTGGCCTTTGAAAGTCGGGTCCTACATCTAATAAAAGTAAGAGAAGCACTGGATCCCATGCTGGAGGCAGAGCCTTCCCCATTCTCTCCTGTTCATGGGCGCTCCTTCCTCAGGGCCTCCATCAAGCAGCTGGAGCTGGATGGTGGGCGGAAGGCGGCTCTGGTGGTGCCAGCATTCGAGACCCTGCACTACCGCTTCAGCTTCCCCACTTCCAAGGCCGAACTGCTGGCCCTGCTGGACGCTGGGTCTCTCCATACTTTCAGGTAGGAGAGGCCACTGCCCTGCCCCTCTGTGTCCCCTACACTGGCCCCACCAGCCACAAGCTCCTAGCCTCAGCCTGGTTCCTCGCCCTGTCCTGCTCCACAGGTACCACGAGTGGCCCCGGGGTCACGCACCCACAGACTATGCCCACTGGCGGGAGGCTCAGGAGCCATACCGCGTGCAGTGGGCAGCCGACTACGAGCCCTATGTGGTGGTGCCACGTGACTGTCCCCGCTATGATTCCCGCTTTGTGGGCTTTGGCTGGAACAAGGTGGCCCACATCATGGAGCTGGATGCACAGGTGAGGGGTGCCTTGCTGCCTCCCAGCCTTGATTTGAATACCTCCAGAACCAGGGAGCTCACCATGCCTCAGTGTAGCACACTGCTCTGTTAGGCAGCACTCTTAGAAATTCCACCCTTCTGCTGAACTAAAATCGTCTGCCCTTTAGCCCCAGGTTATGCTCCAGCAGCTATCGAGTAAGCCTGCTTCCCCATCCCCTGGAGCTGCCATCTTTCCCCAGCCCAGGCAATGACCGTCCATCTGCCTGCCCCCAACCTCCCCCCACACAGGAATACGAGCTCCTGGTGCTGCCCGAGGCCTTCATCATTCACCTGCCCCACGCTCCAAGCCTTGACATCTCTCGCTTCCGCTCCAGCCCCACCTATCGTGACTGCCTCCAGGCCCTCAAGGATGAGTTCCACCAGGACTTGTCCCGCAGCTATGGGGCTGCTGCCCTCAAATACCTCACTGCCCTGCAGCAGCCCCGAGGCCCCGTCTGACCTCACCCCTGCCCTTGGCTCTCACACACTCCCTGCAGACACTGGAGCAACCTGCCAGCACCCTACCCTCCCTGCTATTTAAATTATTTAAGGTCTTTGTGGGAAGGGTTGTGATGGAGCATCTGTGGGGTGGGTCTGGGGCCCCCCTTGGCTGCTGTTCTATGGCTGGGACTATGCTGTAGTGTTGCTCTGCCCCAGCTGGCTTGGGGCTGATTCCTGTTTCCTCAATTCTAACACCCTTTTTTCGTAAGTAAGTGTTAATGGCTCCTTTTCATGTTCCTCCTGGTCTGGGGCATGAGGGCGTTAGTGGGCTCGAGGAGGTGCTGAATCTGGCCAGACCCTCCCAAGGAGGCCGGGACTGGAGTGTGTCTTGTCTACCCTCCCCTGCCCCAAACCCAAAACCATGAGTCTGAGAGACTTTATTTGGCTTTATTTAGTAAAATGTTAAAATAAATAAATACAAATTGATCAGCTGCTCTGAATCCCCCCCACCCCCTCAAAACAAAAATCAAACAAACAAAAACAAAAACTTTGAAGCACAAAACTCCAAATACAAGTTCTACCAAGACTGAAATCACAAAGGGCGTGGACAAGAGACAGGTTGGGGGCTGGCTGGCTCTTTTCTGCTCAGAGCTTGCTGACCTCCGGCTGCCTGTCCTGTCCTGCCTGACTGCAGCTTACCCTGGGCTGAGGACCCAACGACACGAGAGAGGAGCAGGGGCCAGAGGCTGCCGTGGGGGACCGAGTCCTCAGGGAAGAAGGGCTTGTGGGAGGGAAGAGTGAAGTGGAATTTGTGAGCCCTGCTCTTCCTTTACAAAGGCTATTCAAGAGTTCTACCCAGGCTCTCTGCAGGGGTACCCCCTCACCCCCCAGCTTCCTCCTGTTCACTCCGTGGGAGGGCCAGAGGAATCTTCTCAGGGGCCACCCCTCACTTGGAAAAGAGCTGACACTGAGGACAGCTGTAAGTCAGGGTGAGAATGGGTCTCCTGTTTCCTGCCAAGGGTGCCCAGCTGAGGGGTGGGGGTGAGGCCCACAGTCTTTTACACAGAGCAAGGCTGCCTCCATCCAACAGAAACCATGAAATATGGAGAACCCAGGGCCTGAAAAATGTAGCTGGGCCACCATCCATCCTACTACCGAAGAGCCTTTTGCCCCTGGGGTAAAAGTTTCCTAAATTAAGCCCTTTGGATAAATAAGACAGACCACACCCTAAAAGGGAGTGAAGGGAGGAAACCACTTTGAATGCGTTGTGTGAGTTGTGGGTTGGGACGAGTGCCCAAAAGCCTCTGCTGGGCCCAAGAGAGCAAGTGGCAGAGATGGCTGGAGAGGCAGCTCACATGCCAAGACTGAGGTGAGCTGGAAACACAGTCACCAGGATGGGAGAGGCAGGGGCCAAGCGACTTCGACCACTCTGCCTGTTGAGCCTGAGCCAAGCAGCAGCAGGGGCAAAGGCAGGCCCTATAGGCCAGCTGGAGGCTGCTGTGGCCGTGTCATAGATAAGGCCCATGAGGGGCTGCCCCGAGCCGGGTCTCCCTGCCAGGCACAACCAGCAGGCTTGCCTCCAAAGGGCCAGATAAGGAAGGAAGAAAGCAGAACTCAATGAGCTGAGCAGAGGTGAGACAAGACCCAGCAGGCTTCCTGAAAGAAAAAGGACCTACAGGCCACACTGGCAAGAGCGTGAGCAGGGATGATGACAGCAATGTGACCTCATTGCCTCCAGGGCACTGCACCTGAGTCACAGTACTGACAAGGGGCCTCCTGACCCAGAGCCCCGTGGGCAGCTCCTCCCTTGTCCCAGACCAGCCACTCCCTGGCCTTTGAAGTGCCTGCAAGCCAGCTGCTCTCAGATGTGTTGGTCAGGGGGAAAAAGCAGCAGAAGAGAAGGAGGGAGAAGGAGGAGGAGGAGGCAGCTGGGGTGGGGTGCAATCATGAATGTGCGTCTCAGGTGGTCACGGGGACCCACAGGTCTGGAGGGACGGAGGGGTGGTTTTCTCTTGGTGGGAAGTGGAGGAGGAGACTAGGGCCCTTTCTTTGCCGTAAGGGGTGTTTGGGACTCTTAGTCCAGAATGCAGGTTTCGGGGCAGGGTTGCATTTTTTACTCCATATTAGCTGACCTGCAAAACAGCTGACACCTGAACCTGAGGAAAGACCCATACCCCAATCTGAGACAAGGTCAGAGCGTGACTGCTCACAGAAGCTAGCAAACCCCTGGTCAACTCTAGCCCTGCCCCCTACCCTTGAGAATCCCCCAGGCAGTTCCTTTCTGAGCAGAAGGCCTCTAGTGATGATAGTTTCCCAACTTCTTTCAAGAAGACAGGTATTACCTGGCAGCCCCAGCCTCCCGGCCAAGACAAGTCAAATGAGAGAGCTCTAAGACAGAACGTGCAGCCTTCCTCTGAGCGCCCGAACCTCGGCCAACTATTCCTCCAACTAGTCCGGGCATCTCCCAAAGCTCCCTAACTAGACTTAGCACCTTGGTTTTTGCATGAGAATAGGGAGCTCCTTTCTTTCCCTCTCAGGAAACCCTGCAGCCAGGTCCTGGCTCAGGCCTGTGCAGCCCCTCTCAATCCCCTCTTCCAACATCCAGGGCAAGTGGACAGAAATGGGTGGTGGAGATGAGACATGTTTTACTTAAGAAGTGTCTCTCTGCTGCAGCTGCTTTCGGGATCCATCTCTGGGCCTAATTAGGTGAGGGGGAAACTAATGGGACCATTCTGCCCTTCCTCAGCTCTGGCTGTTACGGGGCATTGGGTGGGCTGGGGAGAGAGGCTCCGGGAGCGATGCGGTGCAGAGCCACTGCCTCCCTCCTGTAGCCAGAAGCACACACTGGGCAGAGGTCTCCAGCAGGAGCCCACACCTGACAAAATTTACTTCCCACAAGGCAAGATGATGGAAATGGTCGTAGCCTTTCAGAACCCTGGTTTTCTCTAGGAGACAGGCCAAGCCAAGGCAAACACAGCAATTCTAGCCAAAGGTCATCTAGGAAGCTTATGGGTGGGCAAAGTAGAGCCTGGAGCCAGCAGGCAGAGAAAGCGGCTGGAGATTCAAGACTCTCTTCAAAGGCAAGAAGACACAAAGGCCACCCTGGGGCTCTCTGTCTCAGAAACACCATGTACCCTCAAGACATCTCACTCCTTTGTTCTTTCTGAGCACCAAGGGCTGATGCAGCCAGCCTGCCCCCTGTACCCTTCCACCAAGGCCAGGGTACATGGGCACCAAAGAGCTTCACTCTTCATTTCCTTCAAAGTTGTCCCCCAGGCACTCAAAATGCTGGTGGCTGAAAGACCAAGAGCAGCACCAAAGGAAGGGATCTTGTTTAGGCACCAGCCTTCTGCTCTAGCAAAATCTGAGGAGACAACAGGTGGGGCCTTGATACCGTCCCACACTCCATTTGGGCTTCAGAAACAGGAGCCCAGATCCCTGCACCAAGAAGAGAGGACAGTCTTTTCTGAGGAGGGGAGGATGGTGGGAGGGCTCTGCCCCTGCCCTTCAGGGCTGCAGCCATCCGGAGGACAGAAATCACGGAGACTAGCCCACCAGTCCTGAGACACAAACACAGCAAAATGTCATCATGATCAGCAGGTTCTGTGCTAAAAAATTATAACTACACAGCATTTTCTCCAGTTCTGACACTTTTTTAATAGAAATCACTGTTTTTAGGAAACAAATAGCACTTTTGTAATTTTTTTTACAATGTTTCTTACCTTGATCTTAATTTAAGTAACACTAGGAAGACCTCAATATCTTTTATTTTCCTTTTCAATTTAAAAAAAAGTTGTTTTTTTTCCCCAGATACAAAGATTTTTGCCCTTGCATAAAAAAACAGTGCCCCGAACGATGACACAAGGACTCACACAGACTCACTGACCTCACTGACACTATGATTCCTATTCTACCATGCAAGGTCTCGACTACCCTTAATTGGACTGTCAGCCTGAAAAACAGCTTTTCTATTCCTTATTTTAGTTTTTGTTACCAAAAAAGTAAAATAAACAACAAAATAAAACTTCTTTTAAAGGAAAAAAGAACAAAAAACAAAAAACAAAAAAAACAAAAACAAAAACAAAAAAGAAAAGAAACGTCTCCATTCAATACACACACACCTGGGTCGCGTGCTGCTTCACTCAGGATCTTCTCTTCTTATAAATATAGAAAAGGGATGGAGCTTGTTTTCAAGTAAAATCACTGATCCACCTTTTTTCCTTCCTCGACACACACACCCTTCTTCCCTGCCCCGGGCAAGGGCCACCTGAGGCCTGATTCTGCTTGTTCTTGGAGAGGGAAGGTAACCGGATCGTCCGCGGGGATGGTGCCCACGTGCCACAGCAGGGAAGGAACTTGGGGAGGGTGGGGGCGTCCAAGGCGGGGGAGCGGAGCGCTCCAGAGAAGCAGCCGGTGGCTGTTCTTGGTGTCCATCTCTCCGTGCACCATGCCCGCCCCAGACAATATGAAATACTGCTTATTCGATATACTTTTCCCACCCCGGCTCCCTCCCACTCCCTCCCCATCCCTCCTCTGGGCACTGGGTTGGTTAAATCTCGATTTCCTCTTTTTGGTTTTATAGTAGTGAAAGTTTAGAAACAGGAAAGCCCACACACTCTTTGGACTTGTCTTCTCTACCTAAACAAACGGCTCGGCAAATAAGGATCTGAAACCTGCTTTCCTCCCTCCGCCCGTCCCTGCTCCCCACCCAACAAAACAAAAACAAACCCATCGTGGCTGTGGAGGCTGCTGCAGGCACACACTGGTGTATAATAGAGAGAGTAAATATATTATTTCACTTGGCATGGTGCTGGCAAAGAACCTCCAGCTGGCACTATTTCATGTAACATGGTCCAATCTTTGCATGTACACACAGAATAAGAAGGATCAATTGGCAAACTCTGGTGCCACCTGGCACAAGCATCTTCTCTCTCTCTGGAACCAAAGAACCAAAAGAATTCTGTACTTTCCAGAAGAAATCCGGCTTTGCTTTTCTAGAGTCTTCAGTGTTTTGCTCTCCTTGCCGCCGGGATCCCGTGGCTTCTCCTAGCGGGGCTCTGTTATTTAGTCTCTTCCCCCTGGTTACAGTTCGCTGTGCAGCTCTGGGAGGAGGAGGAGGGGGAGGGGGCTGGCGTGGAGGTGGCAGCGTTGGCAGGGGGGGTGCAGTCCGGGCCATTGGAGACGGCCCCCACAGTGGCCTCAGAGTCTACAGGTTTGGAGAGGTCGATGCCGTGGATGAGGCGGATCAGCTGTTTTACCTTCTCCAGGGAGCTGTGCATCTCCTTCTGCCGGGCCAGGATGGTGTTCTTCATTTCCATGCATTTCTGCAGCCAATGAGAAGGGCAGTGGCACTGAGCCTTCAGCTTTTCTCACAGGCCTGGGGCTGCCCTCTCCAGATAAAAGAATCCCTGTTGGCTGGTGTGCAGCCCCTAGACCTCGTTCTGCTCCTCACTGGAGTGGGTGCTGCTACCCAAGGGAAGTAGGCAGCCCAGGAGCCAAGAGGGGGCAAGTGAGTGGTTTAAAAGCCAACTCTACTTGACATGAGGACTTAAAACCAGATATGAATTACCACTATAATACTACAAAGTGAAAAGGTATTAAGAAAAAAAGGTTCCTACAGCGGTGCTGAAGATGGTCTGGGCAGGTCTGGGTATGCTTCTACCTTGCTAATGGTGCTGAGATGCTCAGGACTGGACTGAGCTTTCCAGGGAAGAAAACAAGCCGATGGTACCTGGATTAAATCTGAGGGCCTACTGAGGCTCATTCGTTCAGCAAGAAATTAAGAGGCAGAGCCCGGGACAGGACAGTGATATTTAGGAGAATCAAAGGCCGCAGCCAGCAGAAGCCCTTCTGCTCAGTCATGAACTTGTAGTCTCTTGCCCTTTTGTACTGGCTTCTGTTCTAGGCACAGAAAGAGATGTGAACCTGCCAGCCATGGGCAATATGATGAGGAGGGACAGCACGACTGCCACCAAAGTCCAGGGCACCACCCGGCATCCATGAGGACTGAGGCCACCTCACTCCAACAAGGGTACCTATTCAATGGAAAAGAGAGCCTGCTCCTGGGGGAAAAGCCTCTGAATCCCTGCTGCAGATACAACCCTCTTTCCCACCTGCTCAGCCAGGCTGGGTAGTATTTACTTCCAATTCTTGTCTCTAGAAACCCTACTTTCTCAGGCTGCTCAGGAGAACCCAGAAAGGCAATCTGCAGGGTGTGGAAGAGGGGACAGGAGGGTGGACCCACTAGCTAGGGTGACTGGGAAGATTCACACACAGGGACCTGGTCTGTGCCTGCCCAGTGCCAGGCAGCTCCACACGCTCCCCACCCCCACCCCCGGCTCTGAACATGCTCAGGAGCACACAGGGATGGTGGCTGTGCTGCTGTAGTGGCTACTTGATCTTTTCAGCCTGGGGACTGAAATCTTCTCTCAGATCAAAGTCAAGAGAATGCTCCAGAGCTTGGCTAAGGCACCATATACCAACTGGCCACCTGAACCTGAGGGCAAATTCTAACTGGAGGCAAACAGCAACCACCCAAGTTAACAGCATTAATACGCTGAAAGAGTGAATCAGCCCTTGAGAGCCCCACGTGTGTTACGTACACGGAAGGCCCTGTTCTATCACCACAGGCACGAGGCTTACTCACACTTATAGAATTGCTGAGCTGTTTCACCTTCTGCTCTAGTTGTTCTCGTTCTTGTTTTAAATCTGAACTCCATTTAAGTAATTTCTGTTTCTCTTCTTCTTTTGCTAAAAAAAAAAAAAAAAGGAACTTGTTTTCAACAATAAATTCTTTGAAAAGGCCACTGTGTTCAGAATGCCTGCCAGAGTGGTATGTTCCCCGAAGGTCCCCCAGCTTCAAAGTCAGTGCACGGGTCCTTCTCACCTGGACTTCCTCTTTCTGTATGTAATGGGACACAAAAATCATCAGTGGCTTGGGCCCGGCTTTACATACTAAGATATCACTTTTCATTTTTCCTTCCCAAGAAAGTACTGTAATAAACTAATTTCATTCAATAAAAACTTTTCATTTTTAACTTTAAATTTCCTTTTAAAAAAATTTACACATATGTACTGTTCATTGTTTCTAAGAACATTTTAGAGCTTTAACTTTTTAAACTTACATAGTTATCAAAGAAATAAAGCCAACCACAAAATAATCAACAGAATGCAGTAATCCAATCATAAAGGACAGTCAAATGTGCTTACACATATTCAAGAAATCATCCAAGTTACAAATAATAAGTGGTTCATTTGTGTCTTTTTTTTTTTTAAAGATTCCACATATAAGCGATATCATATGGCATTTTTCTTTCTCTTTCTGGCTTATACATTTCCTTTTGAAAACAAAAATGCTGTCTTCTAATACTTTTTTTTTAAATAAAGGGATATTTATACAAAAGGGGGTAATATGGATAACCCGTTACCTGCTTTGTAGGCAATATAGGAATGAACAATTGCTAAAGTTCCGGGCCATGGAATTGCTTCTTCCTTCTTCAGCATCTGAAAAGATTTTTAGAATTTTATCCTTGAGAAAGAGGTATAAACACACATCCCCCGTGTAATAACAAGCAACAGTGTGTGTAGCTATTGACAGACAAAATCCAGGAAGGATTTATGGTGGCAGTGTTGCAAAACCCTGGTCTATAGTTTCTGGACTACAAGGTTCCAGTGAACAGCCTGAGAAAATGAGGGTCAATGGCAGTTAGAGCCAAGCCACCTGAGCCCTGGCTTAGAAAGAAGCTGGGACCTGGCTGGGCATTCCTATCTTTTCATGCCCGCCGCCGACCCCCAGCTACTCCTGAAGCCAGAACCAAGTCTGCATGATGGCAGCAGTTTGGTCCTTGACCTGATATAAGCTGCCTGTCTCACTTTTAGCTTTATATGTCCCTTAAAGACAGCCTGACCAAGAAAATTAATTTTAACCTAGACCCTCGGTAGAAAATTATCAGAAGTCACAAAGCAGCATCAGGAAGAGAACAGAGAACTGTCTCTACTATATCATGGAGATAGGAAGGATGAGGACCAAGATAAAAGGGGGAAACCAGAATTCCCTCAAATCAAGATTCCAATTAATTGAGCGGGACCCCGAAGCTTGTGAGCTACTAGGCTTATTTATTTACTACTTATACTTTTGTCTACTTCCAAGAAAGACTTGAGACAGCTAATAATAAAAACATAAAGATGTAAAGATACACAGATGGTTGAGGAAAAAAAACAGAAACTAAACAGAGAAGGGGGGGAAAGGCTTTTTCTTCTTTCAAGTCAATGCAATATTAAGACAGCACTTCATAGTCAGTCCTCTGTTCCTGATGACAGCACAGGTTAAAAGTGAAACTGTTCTTATTTGAATTAAATAGGCACTTTCCTTTAAGGACTTTATTTCCAGCGTTTCAACCATATGCTGAGTTTAGACCATTTTTAGAGAATGGGGCAGAGAGACTCACAGACTTTCAAAGGTAAAGGTAATGAGAAGGTAAGTCATTTCAAATAAAGGGAAGCAGGGTCTCTTCACCGGTACACGGAGTCCCTGCCTCATGGACGTGACAGAGATCCCCCGAGGACGGATGTTGTGTGGGTGAGTGTGGTGCTGTGACCAGGGCAGACGTGGCCTGGAGAACTTCAGGAGAGGGAAGAGACTCAGCCACTCCCCCAGCTTAGAGGGTCCTTCTCCTCCCTCCCCGTCCCTCACCCTGTCTGACCCACCCACAGTACCTGGTCCTGACATCTGGGACAGATCCACATGCCCTTGGGAATTGTTTTCAGAGGAGGGTCTAAGCAGTCCAGATGATACACACGGGAACATGTGTCACACATCAGCAACTGGCCACTTTTTCTGCAAACGCTGCAAAAATCCTCATGGATATCACCCTATGAAATTGAGAGGAAAGGTAAGAGAAAGGACAAAAAAGGTAAAATTTGTATGTTAACATGCACATTCTGGAGATATATATAAATGTTTTAGGACAATCAGATGCACCCTTCCAACTCCTTACAAGAGTGTTCAAGAAAAGTAGGAATCACCAATGGTACATGCCTCCACCTGCTCCATACAACTGGGGTTCCTGGGTGGGGCCAGCATTCTTAATTTAAAGTAGAGTTTACAGGAAGCTATAACTCTGTAGTCACCTAGGCCACAATTAGCTTTGCAGGTGATAGCTCGGCATTTATGTTTCGGCAGAGTCCAAGCCACAAATCATTAAGTTTAAAGACACTGAAATCCATTCATCAAAGTGTTCCACAGTAGGACACAAAAAATTCTCATTACTTATCATTTTGGGGAAGTTTAGAAGGACTGGCAAAGAACAGATAAGAAATGGAGGTTTTCACTGAACTCTTTGCTTGCTCTGGGAGAAAAACAACAAAGTTCAAATAGTAAAAAGATTAAGTCACAGGCAAATTAAACTCCTATGAGCTTTCTGACATGAAAAATTAAAAAAACCAAACAGCTGACAACGTTCTCTTAAAACCAGTGTCTGGCATTTGCTGTTCAATGGACCATTCTATTCCGGGAGGCTTTATTCCTCCCTGTAAAATACTTCACCAGATGGAAAAAGGAGAGCAGCCTAAGTGCACTCTGCTGGTCTCCCCTGCCCCAAGCAGTCACAGTTCTTATACTCAGGTAAGTCTGCTGGAGCCCTCTGAACAAAGGAACCATCAGAAAAAGGCAGATCTATTTAAATATTGGAGAGAACACATAAAAAAAAAATAAATGAGGTATTTTTCAGTAAGCCAATCCCTGGCCTGGTCTCTGAGCAGGATTAACGCTGCTGCTAAGGACAGCAGAGAAGGGAAGGCCGAAGGATCGTGCCACAGATTAGGCAGCGAGGCAGACCTCTTTTCACTTCCAGTGTGTTGTTTCAGGATTCTAGGCTAATACAGGAATTTTGCATAGAAAACACAGAAACAGAGAGAAATGCCCAGTTTTTCCTTTCTATGATATATAAGCCCTCAACCACCACTGTTGAAGGAACGTATCTTCCCAGACCAACAACTTCTCTCCAAAGAAAAGGAAAGGAAACTATCTGGCAGTATCTACAGATTATCTGGTGCCTAGAAAACCAGATATGCAAAGAGATGCAAAATACATCAAAGCGTAGATGGATTTTAATCTTTTAAAGGAAGACAATGTTACCTCTGGGCAGAAAAAAAAAAGATACTCTGTCCATGTGCAAAATACTGCATGAGGATTAACTTTCAGGCACTGAAAGACATCAAAGATGGAGGGGTTCATCCCTAGAGTAACTGTTACTGTCTTCTTTCGTTCTTAAAATCAGGCTGAGGGCTGCTCTCCTCTAGAGAGCTAGCCTTTCTTGAACTTTAGCCCCATGTTTTAAGTCTGCATCTTTTAATAAAAATTTTATGGTTTCCGAGACTGCTTTACATGAACCGTAAAATTATCAGTGATGAATAAATGAGCCAAACAGGACATCTTATTCCAAATACCTATTTTTTTGGGGGGGTAAAGAGTTCTCATTTTCCTTTCCTCCTGAGTAAGAAGGACGTCAACAAGTGAAAGGCAGAGAGTACATAAATAAAGGTTGAATAATTTCTTTCAAGTTTCTAACGGAAAGAGAACTTCTATTTACACATCCCACAGCAGCAGTTCTTAATCTTTTTGGTGTCAGGACACCTTTAAGCTTTTAAAATTACTAAGGACCTCAAAGTGTTTTTGCATATGTGAGTTATCTGTAATTGCTATTTATTGTATTAGAAGTTATAAAACTTTTTATTTTGAAATAATAATAGAATCATAGGAAGTTACATAAATCATGTACTGAAAAATTAAAAAACCCAAGAACACGCAAGTGCACATTCAGTTAGCCTTCAGAGTGATGACATCCTCACTCGTCAGGTCGTATCTGGAAAACTCCACTGTTCTAACTCTTGAGAGAATGAGAATGAAAATGGCAAAGAATGTTACCATGAAAATATTTTTCATTTAATATTTTGATTGATATTATACTTCAAAATATATACAAATATAATTTTATATTTTGATGCCCTGAAAGAGTCTCAGGGAAACCAGGACCACACTTTGAGAACTACTGCCCATAGAAATGAATATAAAATGCCAGGAGATATATTTCATTCACACAGAATTGGTTCTTTGCTTAAAGAGCGCAGAGGAAGTCCCACGGAGGTGCTGTACCAGGTCCAAAGGCTTAGGCTTTGGTGACTGACCAAATTACTACCATAAACCAAATAGTAAGTTGAATGATGTCTAACCCATGAGTCTTTGCTAGGAGCTGAGTTCCCTGGCTATATCAACTGCAACTTCACCATTCGCTAAAAAATTTTTATAATTGTGTCAACATATCTTCCCTTCTCATAAAAAATGATGATAGTGGCAACAAGGTACATCCTGAGGATTAGTGACCGGCTGGGTCTTATATTACAACTCCTTCTAGATGGTTATTGATCCCCAGGAAATGCTTGCCTCTCAACTGAGATTGTTTAATTAATGTTGTTGGGGCTTATGCGATCCAGCAGCGAACACAGAGCCCTGTGTGTTGATTTTAATCACTGCCACTGTTGGGACACTGTCAAAGTAGAAGTCAATTATCTTTAAAGAAAATCCATTTCACCAGGTTTAACTTAGAAAGTTCTCAACGTATCTATAGTGGTTTTAGAAAAGCTTCCTTTTACCTTTAGATTCCTGCAAAGAACAAAGTTTGTATTTTAAGATGAAGCTTGGCTGAAGCTTTCAGCTTGTGATTCGACTGAGTGGATCCTTCAGGTTCAATCTCTCAAAGAAAACCATAACTCTCCTCAACGAAAAATCGCAAAAAAACAAAACCAACATTCTTTACGAAAGAGACTCACATGCAGAACCACCGTCTGTTCCCCAGCATCCATGCCTCACCCAGTGAAGGATCCCTACTATGAAGCCATGAGCTGGCAATACCTTTGGCAATGCTTCAACTGAGGAAAATGGGGATAATCTTTGGTGCCAGCAAACAAGGTTTCTGACAGGGACTCCTGGTGCTCATTGTCAGGACAGGCAGAAAACCTGTATCGATCACTAATGCCAAAAGCCAGGAGAGCTGGAGGAAATGCTGAATCTTGAGAGCAGGGCTGGGTCTGTAGCCACTAGCTATGTCCAAGGAAGGAAACCTGCCAGAGAAGAGAACTCTTCTATGACCCTGGTCCTGCAAAGACACTTCCTTTGTTGCTTCTGGAATTGTAACTCAGGGTGTGCATTTGGTATTCTTTTGCTCTTTGGAGAGGGGTAGACCTTTAGTAAGTACTAAGAACCTTCAAGTTCAAGGGACATTTAACCTCAAGATGATCCTAAAGACAAACTCTGCAATTCACAAAAGAAATGGGGCAAGTACAAAATGAAACTCTTGGCTTCACTCCTCAATCTGTTCCTCTTGTCGTTTCCAGTAAAATGGCAGCTTCATCCTTCCTGTTGTTTAGGCCAAAACCTTTGGATTCACCCTTGGCTATTCTCTTCTTCTCACATTCCATTATCTAAGACTGCTGGCTCTTCAAAATGTATGCAGACTCAATCAGTTTTCTTCATCTTTACTTCTGCCATTTGATTAGGCCAAGTTCTCATCAACCCTTGCCTGGATGACTGCAACAGCGTCCTAACTGGTCTTCCTGCTGCCATCCTATCCTCCTCAGTCTTTCTCCTCCCCCATATCAGACACAGTCATCATTTCAAAATTCAAGTCAATTTTGCAAACTCCTTAAAAATAACAAATGCAGGCAGGAACCATCAAAGGATGCTAAAACCACTGAGTAAGTCTGTTAAGGAACTGGGTATTTTTACAGACTAGACGCCTATCTCCACCTAAGGGAAAAGGCAGCTTTACAAGTGGAGACATCTGATGGAATCTATCTTAGGAGATGAAAATTAACATAACCAACAATGGGACAGACCGATAACACATGCCTCTTGTGATGCACTGAGAAGGGCTCATCATCACCTAGTGCTCCTGCAAAAATGAACCTATTCTTGAGGAAACAATCAGATCATTCAAATGGGAGGGACACTCTACAGAGCAACTGGTCTATCTTTTAAAAGATGCCAATGTCATGAAAGACAAAGACAGGCTGAAAAATTGCTCCAGAGTAAGGAGACTAAAGAGACAATACCAGAACAATAAATATAAAGAGTAATCTTGGATTGGATCCTGGAGCAGCAAACACAAAATGCCGCTAAGGCATTTACTGAGACAACTGGAGAAAGCTGAAGATGGACTGTATGTTATAATAACAGTTTTATCAGTATTAGATTTCCTCAATTTGATACTGCATGGTGGCTATACCAGAGAATATCTTTGCTTTTAGGAGACACACACTCAAGTATTTCAGGTGAAGATTCATGATGTCTGCAAAAACTAGATAAGCAAGAAAAGTGGGGGAGGGGGGGGCAAGAAGCATCTGCGGCAAAATGGTAACAAGCGGTGAGTCTAGGTGCAGGGTACGTATTTGTTCTTTGTGTTGTTACTGTGACTTTTCTGTAGATATGAAAAAATTTCAAAATAAAAAGTTGAAAAATAATGTTACTCCTCTTCTTAAAGCCCTCCAGTGTCTCCCATTTGACTTGAGAGAAGAAGCCACAAAGCCCTACACGACCAGCCCCGCGCCCTGTGAGGTCCGCTCGCCCACTCCTCTGGCCCGTGCTTTGTGCTTCCTGCTTTATTTCTATGCCATACACACTTCCTCCTACAAGCAGGGCTTCTGCACTGCTGTTCCCTCTGCATGGAACACCCTTCCCCCAACAGCTACTGCCACACACTCCATTCCCATCAGTCTTTCTCTCAGTACTCTCCGTAAAACAGCAGTCTCCTGCCAGAACTCCTCAAGCCTCTTATGCTGTCCCAGTGTTCCTCACAGCACTTATTACTTGACATTTTATACGTTCATTTGCTTATCACCTGCCTCTGGCCATGTAATATGAGCTTCCTGAGGGCAGGGAGCTGGTTTTGTTCCCTGTTCTGTGTCTGGCCTCAAGAACAGTGCTCTCTCAGCACAGCAGTGCTCAGTATCTGCTGAGTGAATTCATGGCTGTGTAAGTGCTCATCTGAAAGCGGAGGGCACTAGTTTACACTCCTGCCGCTTCTGGGTGAAGGGCTACTAAGTATTTGACACTTTTTCAGGAACCTGTTTCCGATCAACTCTGCTCAATAAAGCTGCTTTATTTGTTTGTTTCTTTGTTTGTTTGTTTTATGAGGGGGAGGTAATTAGGTTTATTCATTTATTTATGTTTGGAGGAGGTACTGGGGATTGAACCCAGGACCTCGTGCGTGCTAAGCATGTGCTCTACCACTGAGCTATACCCTCCCTCCTTGAATAAAGCTGCTTTAAAGAAAAGTTTTTCACATATTGAATTTTACTTGAAGCAGGAAACAGGGATGGCTAGGGGAACATACACTCTGTTCACTGCCTCCATCCCAAAACACTGATGACAGAAACCTGCACACCTCTCAATTATATGAGCTGACTTCCCCACTTCATCCCCCTTCCTGAGAACTCATTTACGGCAGATAAAATCCAGACTCTGAAAACCCTGCCTGGGCTTCCTAATGTGGTGTCTAACATAATTCTCAAGGACAAGGCAGGACCTGGGGCTCCAGCAGAAAGCTGCCTTACATGGCATACAGTGTCCTGTAGGGACTACTACTGTTCCAGGGCTAGTCAAGGAGATGCAACTGGTAAGGAGACACATATGATAACGGTTTCCCCGATTTAAGCTCTGAGAAAGAGTGAGCTTTTCCCAAGTTACTTACGTCTGTGGAGGTGGGGCTGGGCAGGGACACAGGCTGAACAGATGCAGGGAAAGTGAATGTGGTCTCTGTCTTTTCATTTTCAGGGGAGTCAGGATGACTGGATGGGGGGGATGTTGGGGTAAGGGCTCCAAACCCCAGCACTGCATTGTATTTTGGAGGACGACCTATATACCGAGAGAAGGGAACAAAAGGGAAAAAAGGGGAAGGGAAAGAAGGGGGAAAAATGATCTTACATACCTTTGGCCAGTGTTCCTCATTGGCTAGCATGGAAAAGGAAGTGAGGTAGCAGACAGAAGGTTAATACAATAGTCCCAAAGAGAGGAAAAGAAGCAAAGATTTAAAAGCCATTAGAAACAAATGCACGGGTCTCAAAAGAAGGGAGGATAAGAGAGCCTTGGAGAATGACAGGAGGTGCTGAGTTATGTTGAAGGTCCCTGTCTTGGGCAGATTACGGTGACATTCCTCAGCTATTACAACTTGAGATTTCTAATGCAAGAACCAGATATCAAAGCTCAATGGGAGCCAAGGCTAGGGATAAGAATTTGTTTCATTTTCCCGTATCTTTTGCATACTGTTCCCTAAGGTTTTTCTGCAATCATCACTCTTATAATAATATTAATGATTCTCAGTTCTCACAAATGGATTTATTGAGGAGTTCTGCTTTTCCTTTTCTCTCTTATCTACATTTTGGTCATTTCATTGCTTTTGAGCGTAGAGAACGGCAGAGGGAGGAGGCAAAATTCAAGTTAACTATTCTTACCCCTTGCTGGCAGAGCCAGTAAGAGATACGTTCTGGGAGCAGCTGGAACCCAAGAGCTAAAAAGATGTTCTGGGCTTACTGATGAATTTAAGTATGTCTGGACTCAGATACCCTCCACCCAGTTCATCAAGAACTGTCTCCCTGCTATCCAGCACAGACATTCCGGTGGACTACATGTCTAAGAACCGGGCTGCTGTTCCAAAGTCTCAGGAAAGGCCCTCTCAACAGCAACACTGCTCACTGGCAGAGCTCATCTAAGCAAGAGCATCTGGAATCAAATCTCATGGCTACAGAGGATCTATGAATAAGCCCTGATGGTGTGGGAAGTCCAGGTCAACCGCTGTTGCCTTACGATGTATCTAAGCCAGGAGCCAAAGTCACAGCTTCTAAGCTGTAAGTGATCGAAAGCGTATGCCCAACACCACAGCCAAAAGAAAAAAAAAAGAGCCAGTGAGGTACACAACTGCCTATGAAAACTGGTGGATGGTATGTGGGATCATGACTTTGCCAACAGTTATAATTTATATGAGAATTATGCACAAGAGTCATGATTTTGTCAGACATTACACGAACATTACCTATCTGTGTTAAACTGGCACTGTCTGCAGTACAAGGACAGGTTGTACTGGTTTGTCTTTTCTAGGAAATTTGGTGCAGCTAGAAGGGGAGGTGGAAGATGAATGCTCCTTGTTTACCCACAGAAGGCACGTCCTAGGCATTGTGAATGCAGGCTTTCATCCCCTGTCCTTGGCAAGAGACATCAAGGTCTTTCTGGCTCATTTAACCTCTGTCCTCTTAGCAGATACTGCCCACTTGCAGGCCAGTTAACCGTGGCTTCTGGCTGGGGGCTCCTTTCTGAGAACTGTGTCAGAAGTCACTAAAAATTGCCAAAAATGAAATAAAACAACAAAAACTAACCCATGACACTGGTTACTACAGCCCATGAACTGATATAAAGCAATGACCTGGGGTTTCCCATCTAAACATTTTTTGGCTACTTGGAGGAGGGGGCTGATGAAACATTCGAATGGGGTCCCTAAGAGTGGGTGTGCTATCTCTCTGCGGGGAGGAGGTGGTAATGGTACAATCATAGCCCTGCCTATGGCAGACAAAGGGTCGGGCTGACCTCCTAAGCTTCCAACAGCTCTGTGATTGCGTGTGCATACACAAAAATTAGTATGCTACTCCACTCACTCTGCAACCTTTCTAGCTTGGAACTGTAATTCAGGGACACATTATCATGTGGAGAAAGGGACCTTGGGATGTATTCCTGACATTAAAGAACAATTTCAGAGCCTTGTTTATGAGCTCAAACTCTGAGCTATTAAGACCTATTTAGACTTGCAAGGTGAGAGCGGCAGCTGCCGCCTCTGCCCTGAGAGTGAGGAGGAACGCCCACCCTGGGAGGTCTGCAACTGGGGGACGGAGCTCTTTAGGAATCTGTGTCTTGGGGAGCCTGTTTTGATGGTGACCTTTTCTTCCTTAGTTGGAGGTAGCCTCTACTCATAGACTCCAAGTTCTCAGTGTGGCTACCTCTCTCTTTCCTGGAAAGTCTGCAGCTCACAGAAGCATAACAGCCATGTTCTGGATTCACTGGCATTAGGACAACTTAGATACTATTAAGAACACCTTGGCAATAGCAGTGTTCTGTACATTCAATGATGTTAAAATGCTTCCTTTTACAGGGTGTTCTGTTCACCGTGCTATTCACTGACAGGCTAGTGGGCCTAGGGCAGAAACGCTGCATTAAGCAATTCCCCTGAGTCAGCTTTGCCAGAATCCCAGGAAGGGCAGCTTCTGATTCAGTATATAGAACTCTTAATAAGAAATCTCACTCTCTTGCCCCCCCATTCTCAGAGAACAACAACAAAGCTATTTTCAAGGGATACAGGCGTTAGACAGGCTCTAGGACAAGGGGAGGATGGAGGGGAAAGAAACACAATACAGAAAGCAAAGCAACAGCAAGGGAGAGGTCCGCAAAGGTACTCACCTCTCTTCCGGGTCCCGGGATGCATTGTACTGTTCAGGTAGGTGACTGCACTCTTCTTACGCTTTGGGGATTGAAGAAGGAAAGGTGACTGGTTGAACAGCATGGTTACTACTAATACTGGCACACACTGAAGACCAAGCACAGCATGCCCAGAAACAAGCCACCTAGTCAGTGCTGGTCACCCCAAGGTCTCCGTGCTAGCGGGATCTACCACAGGTACTAGGCTCTGAGAAAATATTCCACAGAGTCTGCCTCTGCTTCAGAAGACACTTCTGTTCAGATAACAGGATGAGTTAAATTTTTAAGGTAGGCTTGTATCTACTTTAACTTTGGAAAAAAAGCTAAGGGGGAAAACAGTGAATAATAAAAATGAAATAATGTGGTCAGCCAGAGAAAAGTCCATCATTCCACAAAGCTGGCCAAGTGCAATCAGGGCACTGCCCTTAAGCAGGGTTTCAGCTGGGGGTGCTGAACAAGTCATGAACACAACTGGAGAAGCGAGGGGAGGGCCAAGAGCTGGCCAGGAATACCTCTGGCTCAAAGACCGCGCCGCTGTACACTGGGTTTGCTGTTGTTCTTCTTTTTCGCTCTTGCCTCTTGCTTTGGATTTCTTGGGAAAGCAAAAAGTACGGATTAGAAGAGGGGTATGAAGAACCTCAAATACTGAACTTGGCTGGCTATCTATTGGTTTTCCCATAACAAATCAGAAATGAGGGCAAGTCTCCTGATTTCACTGCAACCTCAGCAGAGGCAAGCTCACTGCTGGAAACAAGCATGTGGGACCATGTACTCTCACCCCTCAGAAAGCAAGGCCACACTGTCCTACAGTGCGGCTCTGTGACTGAGAGCTTAATAGTAGATAACACCTACAAACAAGCTGTCCTGGTTTATTTTTAGATCACTGTAATATAGGTGTGGATGAGATTTACCCATAGACCTAGACTGAGTAACCACAGTTCACCATTCTTGAATTAAGTAACTAGGGCAGGTATAGCTCTGCGACTAGTCTTAAGATTCTGATAACCTAGAGTGACTGAGATATATAGACAGGCTTGTCAGAGGGGCATTTGTTACTTTGCGCTGCCAGAAAAAAAAAAGTTTCTCTAAGTGAACAGAAGTCACCTTAATCCATGCAGCTAGGGAAGCTTCCCCAGGAGAGCAGTATGCATAAATAATGATCAGGAAAGAGGCGGAACATCAGATAGAGGGAAGGTAAGTTTACTCCAAAAGAAAGTCCACACTGGTTGAACCATACTCTATTTGTGTTCCAAGTTTCTATTCTAATAATAAATCAAACGCCATTTTCAAGAACAAAGCTCTAGGCCAGAAGCAAGGCAGCATCATGAATGTCTTCTCTTACCTTCTAGATGGTCATGTGTTACCAACCCTAGAGACACCATGAAGGCAAGTTTCTGTGCCAGAGAAACAAAAGAAGAATATACTTTAGTTTGGGTTCTCACAAAGCCAATCTCTGTTCCTAATCAGACTCCTCGGGAGAGCCAGCCCAGCGGCTGGTGGCCTGGAGGAAACCAGGTTCAGGTGAGCATGGGGTGGGCACCTTCTACTCCTGGCAGCTATGGAGCCACTCTGATGGCTTTCTGATCTTACAGGGACCAAAAGAGAAGGACCGAGACCTACATCTCCTACTTTCTCAATGACAGAAATCAGCATCTTGAATGACCTAAGTTTCCCCCCCGCCCCTAGAAAAATCCTCTAAGGAAGAAGAGGACTTCACACTGAAAAAACATGGAGGGTTACAAAGAGCCTCCCATACAACAAGTTTCAAATGCTACGTGTCATACCAGGTCAGGGTTTCTTACATTTTTACCTCCACTGATTGGACAATGCTAACTCAAAGCTAAATGAGTTTGGGGAATGATAGCAGGTGGCTCTGCTTAAATACTGTAATTTTTCAATCAATCATGGATCTAAAAATTATGGAGCCATGTCTCTCTGACCACTAGTCTCAGGGCTCTATCAGAAGCTAGACTGATCAGAATACTTGACTCCAAAGCTGGAACGTTAGATGCTTACAACTGGAGAGACCAACAGATTTATTACTATTTTGCTCTTTGGTCACATGTGGTCTGGAAAGTATGCCTTTATTTTCTGCTGTACCACTGCATGTGGTGGCTAAATATGCCAAGTAATATACCATCAATTCTTCTCGTCAGTGAATAAAACATCATCAGTTGTCAGGAGACATATTCCTGCAGAATTATTTATACCACAATTTGCTCTCTGAAAATCCTGACAATTTTACCCTCCACATTAAATATCATGGTATTTGGGCCTGAAGTGGCAGGCTCAGGCTATTCAAGATACTGCGTGTTTTATGAAGATAACCCTGAACTAGCCACTTGAAAACACAGAAATGACATTTACCAGTATCCTCAAAATTCTAAAGAAATGTTTTAATTTTATTTCTTCTTCAAAAACTTGGGTGGGCACCTATCCTCCTGACAGCCAGAGAACCTCAGTAAGGAAATACATTCTTGGACTTGCTGCCCACTTTCTACACTGCATACATTTTGTGGTTGCCAATTAACTACATTCCTTATTTTCACCATTCCTACAGAATTTAAGATTACAAGCCTAGACAGCCAACCATGTCCTCTGTTAATAAAGCAGTGTGTGAACTGACATTCAGATGCACCCTTCTTTCAATCCAGTAACAGTAAGTCACCTTCTTGGCCACTGACATCCAACTCATCTTTGCCAGTCAAGATCAAGCTCATAAAAGAATGATTAAATGGGGAATAAAAAATCTCTTCTGTGAAATAGATTTTTCAGTAATAAACAGAATAAAAAGTTGTCAAGAACTTTTGCCTCATCTATGTACCACACGTATGTCAATAACTAATTTATTCTCTTTATGGCAGTGGCTCTGTCCAACCAGAAATATCTGTCACTACACACGATGATACTTGCTTGCCCACACTGTGCCACTCACGGGAAATATCCCTCTGTTTCTTTTGATAAGAAATTTTACTAATGGCCTGCTCTATTTTTCCTCCTGCAAGCCTAACACTTGTCATTAACTTGTGGATGATTTTATAAGTTTCTCAGTAATATGCACGCCTAGTTCTTCTTTTTGGTTCAAGTTTTAGTCTCTTCTTTAAAGACAAATTATTCATTCATTTCATATCAGAAAGAATTATAATTTATACTTATTTTAAGAAAACCTGAACTAGCTTAATAAATCACTGCTTTAAAAAAAATGACACGAAGCTTTTGATGGCTTCATGCCACTATTTGACATGGTTTCATCACAAAGATCATCACAAAGAATGCGCTGAGGATAGAAGGAAATGGATTGCTGGTCCAATAAAATCCAACTATCAGATATTCATCATCATATTACCCGTCTACATTTTTCTTTTATAGCTGCTTGTACAAAAGCATCAAACTAAAAAATTCCCTTGTCTAAGGACATACAAATTCACATTCTATATTTGTACCAGAGTCTCATTTGCTATTTAAGTTATAATTCTATCCTAAGTTGTAGTACAGATGTCACTATTTTCATCCCTACTTTTATGCTTCAATGAACTACATTCGAGCTACTGATTTACTTGGGATTTGAGGATCTAAGGCAATACAAAGGTAACAATAAAAATGCACATGTAACACCAGTAATTGCTAACATGAATAGAATTTAGCTCAGTGAACTGGACATTTTACAAATGCTGGCTGAGACAAACAAAACATAATGACCATTAGGGATGCAGTGGGATACCTGGGGAAATGGTCATTAATCTTCCAGCTCAAATTTGTGACATGTGTATGAAATGCCTGTTTGCTAGTTCATGGTCACTCAAGGCCACACTCTTAATCTGCCTGATCTGGCAATAACACTACTGAGCAGCGAGAAAGCACAGGAAAAGAAAAGTCAAGTGATTCAGAGACCAAGCGTCCCTCCTGATGTGTAAGACTAAGTCATAACTCATAGACTGAGTCATGCCTCAGGGGGCTGGGCCTACCTGAGGGTTCTCCTCCCGTTTTGGTTTGGGTGCAGCCGGTGGAGTGACGGTGCGGCTCTCTGTTTGTTTCTCATCTGTTTCTGTGTGGGATTTAATTGTCTAGGAGGGGAAAATTTAATGAAAATTCAGAATTCACTTTTTATTAAAAGAATAAAAGCAAACATGGTTTGTAGCCAACAAGAAAGAACATAATCGAACTGAAAACATATTAATAAAGGAGGTAATATGGATTTCATTTTAGAAGGGGGAAAAGTAAAATGTAAGGCCCCAGATGAAATGATTAAATTGCATAACTAGAACAGATATAAATCTATACATACAGTAGTCTAAATTAAATGAGCAGAAAAATCCATGGTTTAATGCCTATGTATAGAAATAAAGTATAGGCTGCTCTTTCTGATTTTAATGTATTTTAGGATGCATTGGGGTAGTTTTCCAGAAGCAAGCCCACTCTTGTTACATATGGGTCAAGTGACAGTTCATAGTGTGCTTAAGATCCCAATAACATCAAAAGAAATCTTACATACATGCATTTCTATTTCACAACAATTCCAATCATAATCTAAGAGAGGTTGTAGAAATACCTTCACTTGGGATATTTAATAAACCTGCCTGTATCCTCCACTAGAGGAGAGATGCAATTGCCAAGGAAAGGTCGTCTTGCAAGAGGCTGACATCCTGATTACCTCCAACCTCATCTTCCAGATGCATCCATCCAAATAAAAGAAACACCAGTAGCATTACTATCTTCAGACACAAATGGCAGCTAGCAAACTGACAGACTGGGTTTGCATTACTATTCTTAACATGACCCAACGGCTAATTCATTTTAGGAAGCCCTCTGTAAAAAGTCAAATGATGTTAGAAGAGTGGATATGAAACTATAAACACAAACCTAATTCACTTCTTCAAAATTAAAAACAATGCAGATGCAAATGATCTTTCTGTATGGCAACAAGTAATTAAATAAATGAGAGTGAAACTGTCTGATTATTGATGAGTAGGAGCCAAATGAAAGACTGATTCTATAAGCTGGATGTTAAAAGTTCTCAAAAACCGTTATATTGTGAAATATTTTACTAGATCTGAAAACCTAACACAGTCACAAAGATTTTTCACTTTCTTTCCCGGCCATGTCCGTACCGGCCTTCTGCTTCTCATATTACTACTTTAGAAAAGTCTAAGTATCTGCTTGATTAATACTGTGGCAACCACTGTCCTGGGACACAAACGCTGCCCTGTTGTTGTTGTTTTAACCAGTGTCCTGTTGTATTCCCACCTCTGGACTATACTGCTATTTGAGAACAGGACTGTTCCACACTTCTGCACCCCTCTGCGCCTGGGCCTCCCAGAGAGCAGACACACTGTAAAGGGATGCTGATCTTCTGAGTGGGGAGTATGACCTATCAGAGAACTCTCTTACTTGCCTCTCTCTCTCTCCTCCCCCCTCCTCTCTTCTCTCTCTCACACACACATACGTTTTTTAACCAAAAAGACACATTTCCTCCATAAAACAAACCACCAACATGTTTACAAGGCGATGCAATGGGAAAGTAGTTTACAGTGACATTTTCTAAGGCCCTGGGTGCCCAGGAAGCTTATTTTCAGAGCTCTGTGAACTGGAAGGACGAAAGTTCGAGGGAGGAGACAGAAGAGAAGGTCAATGATACAGGTCTGCTGCTCCACTCCAAGGCTGTGTGAAGTCCCTTGGGGTCTCTTATATTTTATCTCTAAGGCTGAATAAAGCACACAGTGGTAATGCCTCCAAAGAAAAGCAAACCAACTCCTCTCCATAAGGAATTCTCCAGGGTTCAAATTTTCTCTCATGCCAAGAAGAGTACAATTATCTCAAGGCTGGATAAAGAATACCCAAAAAAGATTAAACAATCAAAACACTGGGGGGTGTCTTTCTCTTATGGACCTTCCACTCTAGGGGAAGCCAGCGGCCACGCGGTGAACAGCACTAAGGAGGGGCCCATGTAGTGAGCAAGTGAACCTCCTGCTCACAGCCAGGAAGAAGTCAGGCCTGCCAACAACCACATGAATGGGTCTGGAAGTGAATTATCCAGTCCCAGTTGAGCCTTGAGATGAATGCAGTCCTGGTCATCTAGTCTGAATGCCAACTAGTAAGGGAACTTGAGCGGGGATGACAGTGCTAAGACACAACCTGAATCCTGACCTCAAAAACTATGTGGGATGATAAATGTTTGTTGTTCTAAGCTGCTCAAAATAAGCAAAAAACATTAGGGAGGGTAGGGAAGTGACATCACAGAAATGGCAGGACAAGATCTGTCCTACTGAAGCAACCATTAAGCTGGCAGAAACAAACAGAATCAGCTTTTTAAAACTCTGGAATATAATAAAAAACTAAGAGCAACTGGGGGGCACTTACTAAAGAAAGAAGCTGCTAAGATTTACTAAGAAAACATTTTTCCTTTCCTACCTACAAATCCATCCCCCAGCTGGACAGAGGCTGTGGAGATGGTAACCTGTGTTCCTGGTGTGGCTTGCTGAACCTTGTTCTCAAAAAGTTGTGGTTATATATTCTGACCTTTCTGGTGGTTCCCTGAGGACTGGTGCAGAGGCTGACCCTTGTTTGCCCACCTTAGGCTGGAATGGCTTTCCAGGTGCCATCTGATGAAAGGACCTAAAGACGTATGTTACCTGCAGTTACCTGGTGCAACGGGTGGGGGATGGAGTAAATAGGAGGAGAGGAGGAAGATTCTTGGAGGAGTAAGGGCTTTGAAGGCCTGTCACACATACTGGGGGATCCAGAGTGCATGGGGCATTCCCAGGGTTAGATACATATTTAGAAAATATTTGAGAGAACCCTAAGCTTGCACTTCTGGATGGTCTTAAAGCTCTGTCCAAGAAAGAGGTCAAGTCTGAGACCGAGTTACAGGTGGCCTGACTTAGCATTAAAGGAGTGCCCCTGCTGCTCAGAGCCAATCTGCAAAGAGCAAGAAAGGTTGTTTGTTTGTTCGTTTGTTTTAAATTACTTATTATTTCTTTTTTCTTCTTTTTGGCTCTAGTTATTTAAGTAAATCTAATAAAACAGAGGTTTCAGTAAGTAACACGTAACAAGAAACAGTCTTTGCAAAAAAAGTTTGGAAAAGGCACTAAACAAACAACTGCAGCCCTCAACAATCAACAACAGTAAACCCCGGGAGGAGAATCTAATTTCCATAGTTATCACATTGTAATTTCAAAATGAAGAGTTTTCACAAATAATTAGGAGGCACACAAACAAACAGCAAAGAATGGTCACTTCATTGGAAAAAAAGAAACCAGAGACCAGAAGGCAGTGGGATCACAATTAAAGTGCTGAAAGAGGGGTAAGTATAGCTCAAGTGGTAGAGTGAATTCTTAGTGTACACAAGGTCCTGGGTTCAATCCCCAGTACCTCCTCTAAAAATAAATAATTAAGTAAACCTAATTACCTCCCCCCTCAAAAAAATTTTTTTTAATTAAACAAATAAAGTGCTGAAAGAAAAAAAACAACAACTATCAACCAAAAACTATTCCCTGCAAAAAGCTGACGGAGTTTATTGCTAGTAAACCAGCCCTAAAAGAACTGCTAAAGGGAGTTCTTTAGGCTGAAATAAAAAGACACTAGATAGTAACCTGAAGTCATACAAAGAAATAATAACTCCAGTAAAGGTAACTACAGAGGTTAATATAAAACCCAGTATTATTGTATCTTTGATTTGTAACTTTTCTTTTTCTTTCCTATACGATTTTAAAAAGAAACGCATAAAACAGTAATTATAACTCTGTATTAGTGGCCACACAACATATAAAGATGTAATACGTGACAATAACAACAAAATGGGGGGCAGAGCTGTATATGAGCAGCTTTTGTATACTACTGAAGCTAGGCTGGAATAAAATCAAGTTACATTGTTAAAAGTTTATGAATATTAAGTATAATCCCCAAAGTAACCACTAATAAAATAATTAAAATATATACAGAAAAGGAAATGAGGGCATCAAAAGAGAACACCGGGGGAAAAATACACAAAAGACAGCAGGACTGGAGGAACCGAGGTCCAAAAAAGACATAAGACGCATAGAAAACAGCAAAATGGCATAAATCCTTCCCTATCAACAATCACTTTAAATGTAACTGGATTAAACTCACTAGTTAAAGAACAGAGAGTGGCAGAACGAATTTTAAAAAACATGATCCAACAATATACTATCTATAAGAGACACGTTTCAAAGCCAAAGACACAAAAAGGTGTCCATCACAAAGGATGGAAAAAGATACTGCATACAAATAGTAACCAAAAGAGTACTGGGATGGCTATACTGATATCAGACAAATTTCACTTTAAGTCAAAAATTGTTACAGGAAACAAAAAAGGTCATTATATATTGATAAAAGGGTCAATTCATCAACAAGATATGACAATTTCAAACATAAATGCACCAAACAACAGTCTCAAAATATGACATCAATATTGACAGAATTGAGGGGACAAATAAATAGTTCTATATTAATAATTGGAGACTTTAATATCTCAACTTTAAATAATGGAAAGAACAAATAGAAATAAGATCAGTAAGGAAATAGAGGAAGGATTTGAACAACACTATAAACTAACTAGACCTACAGACATATAAAGAACAGCCTACTCAATAACAATAGAATACACATTCTTCTCAAGTATACACGAATCATTCTCCAGGACAGACCATATTTTAGGACACAAAAAAATCCTAATCAATTTAAAAAGACTGAAGTCATATAAAATATCTTCTCTCACCACAACAGAAAGAAACTAGGAATCCCTGAAGAATGAAAATGAAAATAACAACATAGCAAAACTGATGTGATGCAAAGAAAGCAGTGCTCAGAGGGAAATTTATAGCTGTAACAGTCTACATTAAAAAGTAATAAAGATCTCAAATCAATAACCTAACTTTACTATTTATGGAACTAGAAGAACTAAACCCAGAGCTAGCAGAAGGAAGGAAGGAAATAATAAAAATTAGAGTGGTAATAAATGAATTGGAGAAAAGAAAAACAACAGCATTAGTGAAGCCAAAAGTTGATTCTTTGAAAACATCAACAAAATTGACAAACCTTTAGTCAG